TTATTTTGGAATTGTACATTGGAACATTTGCGTCAAATTTCTACACATAATTTGATTTCCAATCTGTTGAATAAGTTAGCTATTAGTACAAGATTTGCATAAATTTCAGCCTTATTGTTTTAAAACTGGAAGCCATAAATAATTGAACACAATTTTCTGTATTCCTTGTATTTGACCTTCAATATGACTAGTTTGGGCAGTTTCAGCAACTTTTCACTACTCTTTTGTTTGTATTATAAGTGAGCGTCATGCACTGATCACTGTTAATGTACACTGTGGAACTGTGTTTCACCACAGAATGTTCAATAAGCAAAGTAATATGACTAGATTATTATGATAAGTGAATGCACAATGTTTGTGTTAAAAAAAAACACGGAAAATATTTGAATTGATTAGAAATTTGGATTAATGGTCTTGTGTGCGATTGCGACAGTAATATTGACAATGGTACCAATGTCTGCCACACTAAAAACCATTACCGTATTTGCTGAATTAGTAGCACATTTGTGAACGTTAATGACAGAAGTGAATGAATGGGCAAAATAACTTGTATTTTAACAACCAATATACAATAAATCCAATTTATGTACACTTTTATTAAAGATGTACTTCTAATAGAGCAAATATGGTGTTAATGAGTGTCTATTAGATAATCATACCAAAAAGAAAAGTTTTAAGTTATAAAAACAAAAATAGTGACAAGTTGCAGGAACTGTCTTGCCGTAAAAAGGCATAAGACGATTATCTTTTAAAACAAGATACCAAGTCATTATTGGACATACAGAAAGCAGGCTTATACAGATGATGCAAAATACTTCTGATCTAGCAGATTATAGAACTGAAAGACAGCGATTCAATTGTCAATGTATTTCTGCATGATAACATTGTATAGGAATCCAAAACATTGCCACAAAGATAGATTGGTGCGATGTGTTCCTCACAGATTATACAGAGCAGTGCACAGAAGATGTAGGTCGCCTCCATTCTACAAAAAAAATCGCCAGGTGACCAATCGTCACCCGATACATAAATAAATCACAATATCATCACAGCACTGTGATAATGTAAACAAGTGCTTAAATATTTGAAAAAATACAGCAGAAAGACATTTTTTTACCTTTAAACTCTTCTGGAAAAATAAAATCACAAGGTAAATTTGAGATAGGCACTTCTCACCTATCACTGTTAAATTAACAATTACTGGCAGTCTGTATGTGATGAACTACGTGTGGTAGTCTGTTGAAGAGATTTTGATCAATTGATTCCTGAAACGCATTTTCAGTTGCAGCTATAAAGTTTAAGTTTGGTCTTCTTGGAACTTTGTATTTCTCATTTTCAATTTAAAGTGACATCGTCATCGTAACTTAGCACATGTGCACGAGAGGGCTCACAAAAACATTGATGATTACATGCTTTTTGGAGATGATATAGCCATGTTTATCACACCATGCATTTGAATGAGTGGCGTACAACATGCAATGTAGGTAAAGATC